AGGGTTCCTGGTATGCCTGGCTTTGCCCTCATTTCTCTCGCTAGAGAGCTTGGCCTCTTGATCACCACAACAAAAATTGGCTTTTTCCTAAACCAAGGCCGCCCTTGATATGTCCGCTAACACTGGGGAGCCTTCCTTTATGACAATATTACACCCCAAACTGACAAATGGCTGGTAACGTGAACATTTACAAGGGACTAGGATGGCTGTGACTTAGCCCAATGACGGGATTATTGTAGGTCCACTTCCCAGGGGCCCACCCAATGCAGCCGAAAAGGAGTGCGTGGTGCTGGGAGTGGGTGCAGCCTACATGGCCTAAGACAGGGCTCTCACCCTCCTTTCACCCACCTCGAGGTCCCTTGATGTTGCCCATCATCGACAGCCTAAAGCCTTCGACCATCGATGTGACTCGTCTGACATCCATGTGTTGGGGTTGTGAATTTGTCTAAGACCCCCCATAATTTGACTTCCAAATTCAAAATTCACATAGTTGGGATTGATCATAAGACGCCTTCTCTACTAAACAGAGAAGGGGGAGATGCCAGAAGCCAGGACCCTCACCCTTACCCTCACCCCCTACCTTTCCCCACCTGCACAATGTCCCCTGCAGCCTGGCAAACACAAGCTCCTGCTTGGCAAGCAGTGTATAGCAGGAAAACCATAACTCAAGCAGTGTACCATATCTTTTGAAGAATAGCAGGTGGATCATAATTCAAGGCAGTGTACCGTATAGACCATGACATGTTCAAGGCATAGGCCGAGAAGATTCTGTACTTTCCCACTACCTGGCCCCTCTTACCCCCTCCCCTTGTAAAGAATGTTATAAAAAAGCATTTCATGTTCAAATACATGACTCTTGACAAGCAACTGTTTGCTTGAGTCCTTTCTCTCTCCCGCCCGTTCTTCTTTCAGGTTGCGGTCCTCCTCGCCCCCACGAATAACTAGGATATGCAGAGTATGTACTCACTTATAAGTGGATTTTGCCCACAAAGTAATGGACAATTAACAGACCTAAAATATGCTAAAATACAAAGAGGGATCAAGGGAGGATAATTGAATACACTCAGAAAGGGAAATATGAGTCTTCTGGAGTGGATGGAGGGAGGAAACTCTGTGTGAAAGAGGAACGTAAGGGGAATGTTCGAAGAACCTGTGTGCCAAGAGAAGGTGGAGAGAGTGAATGAGAATCAGCAGCACAAAGGGTATTTTTAGGATATGTCATAGGCCTGGAATGGGGAAGGCTCCCTGGAGTCTATGATTGTGATTATAGCTGAGACTTGCTCCAAGTAATGTGTGCTATGGAGCCTGAAGTGATGACTCCTGTAACCACAGGACTCCGAGGGAAAGAATGTTGATACTAACTCATCTACAAAACCTTACCTAAAGGAGGAGCAGGGATAAAGAAAGCATGGTGCCATAGGAAATTCCCTACCAAACAGACCCATCCCATGGACAGGAACCATTCCTTGACACTATAAATGATACTCTGCCATGCTTATAGACAGAAGTCTAGCATAACTCTTCCTCTAAGAGGCAGCAGACAGTAACTGTCCAAATGGAAGCAGAGACTCACACCCAAAAATTGGAGGGAGCTGAAGGAGTCACATGGGAGAATTTGCAGGATAAATTGAATAATGTGAAAGGGAAAACAACTTCACAAATAGACCCACAGAGTCAACTGACTTCAATCCTTAAGGGATTCCGGAGTCTTAATGACAAACCAAAGATCAATTATTGGATTTACCTGTGCTACCACCCAGAAACATGTGTAGCATATGTGCAGTTTTGTAGCTGCCTGCGGCCACCAATCAACCAGGTTCACCTGAAAGGGGGCTGGGAATGAAAGGTAGAAGGAGAGTGAGAGATGAAGCTGAGACAAAGTTCTCTGATCAAGGCTCAATGCTTTAATGTTCAGCTTCTCAATTTAAAGAGAAAGACCCTGCCTGAACCCTTCCTAGTTTCAGCTGGGAGATGGGTGGGATAATCCATTCTTGATCATAGGTCATGGCAGGAGATATCCCAAGGCAAACCCAGGGACAGTTCTTCTTTTAAGTTCTGTGCAGCCAAGGTGGGTAACTCCACCTAGATCCTATCACTGGTCTGCTGTAGTAAACAAGGTCTCTCAGGCCTGCTGAAGGCCGGGGTAAAGGCACACAGTTTGGAGCTTGTTACTCAGGAAGGTTCTCCAACAATTAGAGCAGACAGTCCCTGACTCTGTTGCCTGTCTGAGGAGTTTGTTGTCCTAACTCTTGTATGCAACGCTGGAAACCTGACCTTGATCACTGTAAAATGAAGGCCAAGTAGACCCTACAATGTTGTGAGTCTCCACATATCTTTCTTGGCTCCCCTTACATGGCATACTTCAAGATGAAGTACCAAATGGTAACTAATGGTGTGGAGAGCTTTTAGGGCTGCTAGACAGGAATCTGACATTGGCCATGGACAAGGAAATGGGCTTTATGTGGGAATCTGACATAAGACAGGGAAGTAACTTCAGTCAAAAAACAAATTCCTAGGCTAGAACAAAAAAAGTAGGCTTCAAGCATGAATATAACTTTTGCCTAGGACAGGGAAGTAGGCTCAGATATTTTGGTCATCATAATAAGCCCTTAGAAACAGTGATCATGAGACTTTGCTTATTGCCTTGCTTATTCCTTGACAATTTGCATTTATTGTATTGCTAGTTCCTCAACCTAGAACTGACCTAAATACTTGCATGTAATTAAAATGATATAAAAGAAAAATATTCATCTTCAACATCCATGCCTTCCTCTTCTGCTGCCTTGTTTCAGGGCTAAAATCTGTCACCTGTGGCCCAGGGTTTTGAAATGCCAAGCACTTTAGCTGCTATTCTATCTGTTGCTGGTTTTCTCTACTTATTTTTTATAATATTCTTTTTACTTTTCATTTATTGTTCAATCTTTTTTAAAATAAAAATTATATACCCTTCCTGGTCCACGTTCCAACTCTTCCTCATCCTACTCCTCCTCCCCAAGTCTCCAAGAAGATGTCTTCATTCACAATGCCCACCCCACTAAACCTCCCCACTCCCTGGGTCTCCAAGTTTCAGGAGTGTCAATGTATCTTTTCTGACTGAGTCCAGAGCCAGTAGTTCTCTACTGTATATCAGGTGGTTTATGCTACCTCGTTGGTGGGTCAATGTCTGAGAGATCCCAGGGGTACAGGTAAGTTCAGACTGCTTGTCTTCCTATATAGTCACACTCCTCCTCAACTTCTTCCAGCTTTCCCCTAATTCAACCACAGGGGTTACCAGCTTCTGTCTATTAATTTGAGGGAAACATCTCCATCTGATTATTTCAGCTGCTATTTGGGCCTCTTGGAAGTCAGTCAAGACAGGCTTCTGTTTGTAAGTACACTATAGCATCATTAATAGTGTCAGACCTTGGGGCCACAAATTGACATGAATCTCAATTTGGTCATATCACTGGACCTCCTTTTACTCAGTGTCTTCTCCCGTTTTGTTCCTTCAGTTCTTTCAGACAGGAATAATTGTGAGTTAGAGTTTTGGACTGTAGGATCGCAGCTCCATAACATTCTGGCTCACTTGGGGAAATGTGTGTGTTACAAGTCACACATTATGTTCTGAGTATGTCATGATCCAGCAGCAGCTTTATTACCATAAACTCCTGTCACTTGCATTATGTGAATTGAGTGGTGTTGGATCTAAGTGGACCCCATACCAGAAAGGCTCTACCACATTGTTTACACTCATAGACTTTCTCTCCATTATGAATACTTTCATGATGATGAAGACTGTAAAAGTGTACAAAGGCTTCCCCATATTGAATGTATTCATATGGTTTCTCTTTGATGCTGATGAAAACTTGGGAAATTTGAAAAGGCTTCACAATATTAAATGTAGTCATAAATTTCTAAGCAGTATGGATTGTTTCATGGTGAAGAAGATTATAAAAGTGTACAAAGGCTTCATCATATTAAATACACTCACAGGATTTCTCTACATTATGGTTTCTTTTGTGCCTTTGAATATGACTGACATATGAAGGCTTTACCACATTGCTTACATTCTCACCTGTATGTCTTCTTTTATGTACTTGAAGAAGATTGCAATGTAAAAGGCTTTATCCCGTAGATGACATTCATAGGGTTTCTCTTGAGTGTGTCTTCTTTTATTTACATGGAGAGTACTGTGACTTGTAAAGGGCTTACCACATTGCTTATATTCATAGTGTTTCTCTTCAGTGTTTATCCTTTAATCAACTAGGAGATGAATCTTTTGTCCAAAGGCTTTACCACATTAGTTACATTCAGAGGATTTCTTTCTAGTACATGTTCTTTTATGTATTTGAAGATAACTGGGACATAAACGTGCTTCAGAAAATTGATGATATTCACAGGGTTTCACTCCAGTATATGTTCCTTTATATGATTGGAGGACACTGCTTTGTGAAAAAAGTTTAAAACCACATTGCTCTCAAACATTGTTCTCCTGTATGTGTCCTTTTATTACTTTGGTGACAACTGCTGTGTCAAAATACTTTACCACATTGGATGTGGTAAAAGGGTTTCTCTCAAATATGTGTTCTTTTATGTATATTAAGATTTGATTTGTATGTTGATTTGTGAAAAAGTTTTACCAGATAGGTTACATTAATTCGGTTTCACTCCTGTTCATATTCATTTATGATTTTGTAGGTGACACCTTATTGCTAAGGCTTTACCACATTGATAACATTCATAGAGTCTCTCTCCTATATGTATTGTTTTACGATATTTGAGACCACTGCTTACTGTAAAGCCTTTACCAAATTAGTTACAGTCACAGGGTTTCTCTCCTGTATGTGTTCTTTTATGTTTTTGGAGGTCACTTCTTCCTGTAAAGGCTTTACCACAGTGGCTACATTCATAGGGTCTCTCTCTCCAGTATGTGTTCTTTCATGATATTTAAGACCAGTATGCCCTGTATAGGCTTTATCACATTGGTTACATTCAAAGGGTTTCTCCTTTGTATGCGTTCTTTAATGATCTTTGAGACTACTGCTTTGTGAAAAGGCTTTACTACGTTGGTTATATTCATAGGGCTTCTCCCCTGTATGAGTTCTTTTATGACATTTGAGACCACTGCTTCCAGCAAAGGCTTTACCACATTGGTTACATTCATAGGGCTTCTCCCCTGTATGTGTTCTTTTATGATATTGGAGACCACTGCTTCCAGCAAAGGCTTTACCACATTGGTTACATTCATAGGGCTTCTCCCCTGTATGTGTTCTTTTATGATATTGGAGACCACTGCTTCCAACAAAGGCTTTACCACATTGGTTACATTCATAGGGCTTCTCCCCTGTATGTGTTCTTTTATGATATTCAAGACCAATGCTTCCTGCAAAGGCTTTACCACATTGGTTACAATCATAGGGTTTTCCTCCTGTATGTGTTCTTTTATGTTTTTGGAGGTCATTCATTCCTGTAAAGGCTTTACCACATTGGTTACATTCATAGGGCTTCTCTCCTGTATGTGTTCTTTTATGATATTTGAGACCACTGCTTCCTGCAAAGGCTTTACCACATTGGTTACATTCATAGGGTTTCTCTCCTCTATGTGTTCTTTTATGTTTTTGGAGGTCACTACTTCCTATAAAGGCTTTATGACAGTGGCTACATTCATAGGGTCTCTCTCCAGTATGTGTTCTTTTATGATATTCAAGACCATTATGCGCTGTATAGGCTTTACCACATTGGTTACATTTAAAGGGTTTCTTCCCCATATGTGTTCTTTTATGTCTTTGGAGGTCACTCCTTTTTGGAAAGGCTTTACCACATTGGTTACATTCATAGGGTTTCTCTACTGTATGTGTTCTTTTATGTCTTTGGAGGGTACTACTTCCTGTAAAGGCTTTACCACATTGGTTACATTCATAGTGTTTCTCTCCAGTATGTGTTCTTTTATGATATTCAAGACCACTATATCCTGCATAGGATTTACTACACTGATTACATTTATAAAGTTTCTCTCCACTATGAGTTCTTTCATGCCTTTGAGTATGACTCTGATATGCAAAAGCTTTGGCACATTGAGTAATCTCAGAGGGTTGCTCTCCAGTACAACTTCTTTCAAGCCTGCAAATACAATTGGCACAAGTGAAAGCTTTCTCACATTGATTATACTATGCATGTTTTTATCTTTATGAATATATTTGGAATCTGGTTAAAATGTAAAGAGTAATCTGATTTGAATATAGTATCACTTTGTTAACATTCAAAGGTGTTCTCCATTATGGGTTGTTGTACATCTTTAAAGATGCAAAGAATTGGAAGAGTATTGATTACATGACTAACATTTATAACATAGGTTTTTTTTTATATAAAAGGTTATTTAGATATTTGATGAGAACAGGAAGAGGTCAGAGCGTTTGAACACTGATTGTATTCATAAATAGTGCTATCAAGACAATAATACTACATTTAGAATATAAACCAGTGCTAAGAGAAAAAAATTTACTTCCCTTATTCTCATAATGATTTTCAGCAGTTTGAGTTGGCAAATGTCCTCAATAATATTGGGAAACTATTTAAAAATTTTCAGCACATTTAGAAATGTCTACTCGAAGTGTGCAGTACTATATATCTTTTAATTGTTCTGGAAAAGAGAAAGGTATGTTGATTCTTTCAATATTTCTATGCTCAAATGGATTGTATCCATCAAGACATATAATATCCATATTAAAAAAAAGAATAACAAGTGAAAGGGTTCCACATTACGTTCACAGAGTTTGACTTTTTTCTCTCATATTGATGTGGTACAGGGATTAAGGTTTCTCTAGAAAACAATCCTTGAAACTCATAAAGTGTCCATCTAAATAAATTTAGCAATGTTACTACAAGTATATGATTAACAACAGATTTACCATGGATTATTTGCTTATTCCAAGATTTTAGGCATATACTTATCACCTAATAAATGTGTTTCCTATTTGCAATAGCTACGTGGTATGAGACTGAACAGACTGGCAGTTCTAGAGCATAGCTTGATTAAAATAGTGACATACCTGTTAAGCCCTTGTTTCTGTGTTTTTTAAATTAAACATCTTGTAAACACAATCTAGATATGTGACATCAATATACATGGTTTTGTGAGATTTAATAATCATCTATAACTTAAAGAAGACCATATTTTACCCTACTGCTTTTCTTCACAACTTGTACCACATATTAAACTTTATTAATAGGCATTTTCTTATTAACTTTCACATGAAAATTACCTTCCATGTCTTCTAGAACTTTGAAAATGTTCACCAATAGTATAGTCTTCCCAAATACAACCTAAAATATGGTACGAGAGAAAGTATGTTACACTATTGGGAATTAGGCAACATTTAAGCTATCAACTAGAGTGAACTTTAGAACCATCTCTGGTTTATTCACCTTGTTCTTCCTCATTCTCAACTAAAATTACAAAAACAAATAATAACAAAGAAACAGATGTGCCTACATTTTACAAAGTGAATAAAAATCACTGTATTACCTATAGCTTTGAGATTCCTATAGGTCTCCAACATCACATCTTTGTAGAGACTCTTCTGAGAAGGATCCAGCAAAGCCCATTCTTCTGGAGTGAAGTTCACATGCACGTCATCATAGGTCACTACTTCCTAAAAGTTCCAGTATATATGTACATAAGAAAGCATAATTCCAACAACAGTGTCAATGTGTACTTCAAAATGAATAATTACTGACTTTTTATCCACTAAGCAAACAGTCTTTCACAGCTGAAGAAAAACAAAAACTGCAGTAAATGTTGAAGCAAATAAATGATCTCGGGGATCCTGATGTCTCTGTATTAAGATGTTGGGTATGAGACCATGTAGCATCCTGCCAGACCTTCCTCACTTTCTGTTCCCTGAGACCCAAGGGTGCCCATAGGACTGCAGTTTCTTCTCACCTGTCCAGGCCTCCTGTAGATACAAAGACAATTTCCATCTTCCCTTCCCTTCTTACCCAATCTCTGTGTCTGAGCTCTGAACTATGGACAGAAACCCCCTACTTAACCACAGGCCACTTCTCCAGAAGACAAAGCAGTATGTCCAAGGAATCCATCCTACTATCTGTTACCCAAGACCAAATTCTCATTGTTGCCCAATGCTCTGGAAAATGATATTGTTGCAGAAACCGTCCTTTGCCCATTTCCATGTGAACAGTTTTCAAATTCTCTTGAAAATAACTAAGGAAACTACACCAGAAAAAATGTAAAGTTGACCAACATTATCTGTGCTTATATACAAATAAAATAAAAACAGATTTCATGACTCCTACAAAAATAACTTAAGAAACCCCTAAAATGTTATATTTCTGACCTTTCAGTTACTACCTGTATGTCTCCCAAACAGAGAGGCCTGATGGTATAGAGTTCTGTCAATAGAGGTAGGTGATCAGAAAGGTGGTCTATGGCTCTGCAGCTCTTCATGAGCCCTAGTGATTTCAGGCAGAACTAGCTCCACTCAAGTCTAACACAATACAGTATTAAATAGTGAGTTAATATCTGCTTCCTGACACATGGATTATGTTACAAGATGTGACATCTGTCTTATCGACCTGCCCAACACCATACACACCTGACAAACTTCTAAGTCTCAGAAGCTCCTTTTTCTAACCAAGAATTGAATTTCTGTGTATCATGACATTATTACTGGAGGTAATAGAATGGCTAAAGAATTCTAGTTAATGTTTCTGAAGTATGATACCTATCACCTCTTTTCTACTGATTTCTAAACTATAAAATTAGTCACACAAAATGAATATAGAAGGTTCACAAATTCTAGAACTCAAACCTTTTGCAACATAGCCCTATTGCATACCAAAATCAATGCCTGTGTGTACACAGTGGATAGTGACATTTAAGTTTCACATGTTGTGACTCAAAGGGCTACATACCCTCTCTAGGAATCTACCCTCAGGAAAGGTCAAAGGATAGGGGCCTCTGCTATTATTACTATATGGAGAAACAGAACCACACTCTGAACCAAGGTCCCTCTTAGTACCAGTAGATCTGACTCCAACAGCTCAGCATACCTGTTCCTCCTGTCTGGAGACAGAGATTGGCCACAATCACCAGGGCATGGCTTGTGGTCTTTTGCATAGCCTGTAACAAAGGCATCGGAGGAAAATCCTGTAAAGAACCTGCAAGCTACCTTCTACTAGTGCTCCTGATTGACAGGCCTGCCCAAGTCCCTCATTAGTTAGGAAAACTCAGCTGGGCATCAGGACAGTAAGTGGCAGCTCCTCTACTTGGGGAACAGAGAGCAAATGACTCGGACAGCTAAAGTCATCCAAGCTCTGCTGTTCCACCCTAAATGCAGACATAGCCCTAATCTTGGAAATTTGCATTTATTAGAAAGTTCTAGTCTCCCAGAGGACTTATTTCCCTTGCTAAAGACACAGGGTCCTTTCTTTGCATAATCAATTATACATGCAATGTCCAGGGCAGACATCTCTGCTTTATACTGGGGAAGGCCTGCAGCCAAACTGCAATCAAATTCATAGAGTAACAATAATTAAAAAGAAAAAGTCGCTATTTTAAAGCTAGTCGAATTTTAAAGCTAGGAGTGGACAAAGGGAGAGGAATGAAAAAAAAAAGAAATAAAATTATAGGAAATCACTGCTCCTAGATATGATGGAGTAGAAATTTTATAATACACAAAAGAGAGAACATCGGCAGACCCATGAATATCTGAGATAGTTTAGAGTAGACTTGACATTGAACCTTGTGGAGAGGTAGGATGGGAGAATGAAGAGCCAGACCAGGAGATCAGAATGAAAAAGACCAGTCCCCAAATGGTTGGAAGGCATAAGGAATGGCAGCCCTACTCCTGGGGTAGAGGGTGAGGTATGCCCTCAATATTCTGTAATGGGTAGGGACTGTGGTCTGATGAGAAAACCAGACAGTCAAGTTTGCTTTCATTTGTTAAAAAGGTCCCTCAGTTCCTTGTCCCAGAGTTTCAGACTTAACACCAGTGAGAAAGTAGAAGGAAGAAAGGATTATTATACTCTCAAAGTTTATTTTTAAGAGTTAAAACACACTTTATGGTCCAATATTTTTGAGAAACTACACGTATGTACTAGAGAGCGCCAAGAAGTACTCACATCTTTTCTCTTATACTGTGTAGTTTCACACAGGAATAATAACATTCCTGTTAGGTACAGCCACACCAGTTTCTCTAGAACTTCTTTTGTTTGAACTAGTGAAAACACAGAAAGTTGGTTTCTAGATATAAGTTTTGTTCCTCATTTAGATTCCTCATTATCCTAATCTGAGAAATCAAGATGGCCAGTACGGAATTTAACTCACTGTCTAAAATTGATTACTTGAGTACTCATGGTTAAAGCCAACTATTACAAAAGTAAAGTAGCCTCACCTTCCTTCTTCCTCCTCTTTTTTTGTGTAGCAATTATACCAGCTTCATCTTAGGTCAGTGAACTCAATTCTTATACAGGTCCCTCTTTATTTGTAATTCCCTCACCCCTAATCTGGGGAAGTTTGACAACACTCATTCCCTGGTGTTTTTGTCTCACTGATCAATCAGAAGCCAGATTGAAAGGAGCTGTAGGACTGGTTTCCAAGCACTGGGCAGCAGAGACAGGTTCAGGTGTTCAAAGGAAGTCCTAAATACGTGGCAGAAGAAAAGCCTGAGCTAAAGGAGGTGTTTCTCTAAACAGACAGATATGAAATCTCTTTAGAAAAAAGAATGACATTCTTAATTTATGGGAAACATTGGATAATAGAAACGAGTAAGAGAATGGAGCACTAATGCATAACGAAAATGAAGTTTAAAAACTAATAACAAAAATTGACTTTTTAAGTAGACAAATTTAAATGAAAAACCATATTGGTATAATGACTTTAAAAAAGAGCCAACCCTTCCTGGTAGAGGTGATGGCATTAATAAGGTGGTGTTTGTCCTTGCCCCTACGTGCAGTGTTAACTGCTGAGATCTATAAGGTGACACACAGCTACATCAAATGGCATGTGTTTTACATTTCTGAACCAACATAAATATGTCAGCTAGGATTGCTTGTATCTATATAATACCAGTCCTACTAACAAAATTCATTATCCACTGGCTCAAGCTAAGCTGCCCAAATTAAACACCCACAAATCTAGTTTAATTTAATCATAGGTAATATTAAATATACACTGTGAAATTATAGAATTATTCAGGCTACCTGAATCCAGTCCTATTCCAGAATACTGACACCTGCAGCTGACTCTCATAAACTTTAGTCTGTGATCTAGCTATTGCCTGCACAGTTTCACCTGACAGTAAATAAAGTAAACCATTCCTCCTGTTCTCATCTGAAAATGGAAGAAATGGACAGTTCATCATATGATTCAAATGAGCAAATTTAAAATGTTGTTGTGCTGCATTCTTTTAATTCAAGAATTTATGAATTTTCATCAAGCAAAAAGCAAGGTCATTGCCCTGGGGAGCAACAGACCAGAATCAAGGCTATCTGAGTCAACAGAGCTTATCTTAGAAACATCTCTATAAAAGGAAGAAGATGCAGCTCTCACAGAATTAATTTATCATCCCAGAAAGAAATCACTCCAAATACAACATTAAAATATTAATTAAGAAAAATCTCATTAATGACAGCATGGATTCAGCTCTGACTAATGCTCAAAGAGAAGCCAACAAAAAAGAGATTTTGGATCCTGTCATCTGTGGGACTGCATAAGGGTATCCTGGGTCATGGTTGAGCAGGTACTTAGAACCCCGAGATTCTCCGTGGAATTCTGCGTGAGAACCTGCAGGAGTTCGGTCCCTCCCATCATCTAGGATCCTGAAAACAGTCACATTTCCATAGAGTCACATAGGCCAGGCTATAGGCCTCAGGCCCTAGAGATTTACATACTAATGAAGGCCAGAGGGCAGAGCAAATTAAACATTCCTCCCCCAGATCCTCCCCTAATCCTCCCCCTTTCTCCCTCCCTATATAACTCGGGACTGCCCTGAGATTTTGGGAGGCATGCCTAGATCCATCTATTATCCGTCATGACAATAAATCTTTTTGGAACCAAGGACTTCCTCATGTTACTGGGGCCTGCCGCCGCCAAGGCCCTCAGGGAGACCATAAGATCTCCCTCCCTGATGTGGGACCCACCACGGCGGTGCGAGCTTGCGCCGCTGTGGTGGCCTTTCTAAATTTTCACGACAGTCATCCATAAATTTGTTTCTGGTTCAGGCCCTTTGTTATTTTGTACAATTTAAAGAAGGACTAGAGATTGTAAGTCCTACTTAAGACAGCTATGAGATTTACATAGCAAAGATTCCCAGAATCATTGATTAAGTGCATCAGAGCCCTGAAACAGCAGGTCAGTTTTCAGTGATGGGTTCCTGAGTTGGAAGTGAAGGTGAGAAAGACAGGAAACATAGACAGTAAAATGTACAACAGCTGTGGTGGGGAGAATTGCACAAGCTATGGCTATGTCATGTAAGTAGCATCTTGTATATTACTTACAGGGGACAAATGGAATGAAATGGAGACTTCTATGAAGGCAGCAGTAACTATCACACACTGGGACAAACTCAGGAGTTTTGTAATAAAACAATGCTGCACAAGGGAATCCATGACTGACCAAGCCCACAGTTGACTTGGGACTGATAACCATGTCACCCTATACTGGAAAGAGTTGGAATCTCAGGATTTTAAGCTTCTCCTCCCCCAACGACCTGGCCACGAAGCTTTACCACCTCTGCCAACCCTAATCCTTGCTTAGGAGAAAGAGCACTGTTTTCTATTCAATACACCAGGGCCTTAGGTAAAGCTCCTAAAGCTTAAGGCTCCAGGCTGTTAAGGGGCTAGAATTTAGGAAGGAGATATGCAATTCTCCATGCATTAGGATCAAGCCTTATTAGATTGGACCAGCCCACAACACACAGTGTTGTCCTTTTCAAGAGATGTCACCAGGTATAGTCCTGCCCTTATGGCAAAACTATGCTTTCCCCAAGAAAACAGTATCTTTATGGCATACTAGGCCTTAATGTTGGCTGTGATCATGTAATGCCACATCGAGCAGCTTATTAGGGGACTGTTCTTTGATATCAGCATGAGCCTAATGGCTGATTTTAAATCAATTTGTCCCCTTTGTTAAGGTCTGGAGACAAATGTCTGGACAATCTTGATAAGCAAACATGTATATATTACAATACTGGCTTTTAACAGGACTGCAGTTTTAGCATACTACATACTTGTCAGGTGTTTTACAGGCAGTCCTATCGAAGATAAATTCTACTTAGAGGGCTGGGCTGTGGTGGCACACAACTTTATTTCTAGCACATGGAAGCAGAGGCAGGTGGATTTCTGAGTTCGAGGCCAGCCTGGTCTACAGAGTGAGTTCTAGGACAGCCCGGGCTATACAGAGAAACCCTGTCTCAAAACACCTGGAAAAAAAAATATTTCCTCAATGTTGGTAATTCCTTTTATCATCAATTCTACACTTGTACATCACAGCTAAATATTGGAGTGATACCCAACACAGGAGATTTCTTTTTACAGCCTTCACAACACCAACTCCAAGTGGAACTTACACCTCCAAGTTCATTGCTAAGAGCAGAACTTAGAGAAGATAACAGAGAAACCAGGGCTCTGAGGTTTAGCATCATGCCAAGTATATTTCTACACACAAGCCACTGCTGCAATGGTTTTGTGCAGATGCTCCCATAATAAAGTTATTCAGAGGCCACAGCCGGGTACAAAGGACCTCACAGGAGGCTGCATGTGTCCGGCTGCTGCTTACCATCCAGTCACTGGGAAGACCCACTACACATTTGTACTTTGCTAAGTAACTTCCGCCTCCCGTTCATAGGAGATGGCCTTGCACTTACCATGTCTGGAGTTCTGAGCTTGCCGAGCTCCCCTCACAGCACCCAGCAGACACACTCAGAATGTTTCACCCAGAAACACTCATGCCGGCTGAGTTACAGGAAAAAACTTGTAGGCTTGGTACCCGGAAGTGTCGCCTCCTCTTCTGACTGGCAGGTCCATTTGGAGGTTTTGATTGGCTAACGAGACTTGAGTGACATAATCACCACTCTTAAGATTAGAGTGTCTTAAAGAGACGCGGCATAGTGGTTCCAGTTTTGCCCAATAATTTCCCAGATCTGCAGATTTGAAGTTCAGTAGCACAAGTGCCTCTCCTCCAATAGCTTATTTGTTCTCCCATCCAGCTCCTGGGAGAAAGTAAGCTTTCACATCCCTGCTTCTCAACTGCCTGCTTCTACTCATGTGGGCAGTGGCACTGTGTTCACTGCTTTGCAAATGTGGAGCTTTCCTGAACTCCCATCACAGCACTCATGAGGTCCTTCCTCCTCATCCTGCTGCATTCACAATGGATGATTCTCACAGTCAATAAGTCAGATTACAGTGGAGTTACTAATCTGTCCCACATGTGGACAGGTGCCAAGAATATTAAAAATTAAGAACAATTTTAGAAAACTTTTTTTTTCTTTTTTCTTTGTTTCTTTTTTGTTAGGATCCTTTAGGATGAGTTCAGGTAAACTGCAAGTACTTTTTACCTGTTGTGTATGAGACAAACCTAGAGCAAAGCAGGAAATAAGTGACAGACACCTTGGAGCACTCTTCTTAATCAGCTGAAAGTCCTCAGTGAGTCTGTAAAATGAAAATAGCTCCAGGTAGTGTTGGCACACGCCTTTAATCCCAGCTCTTGGGAGGCAGAGGCAGGCGGATTTCTGAGTTCGAGGCCAGCCTGGTCTACAGAGTGAGTTCCACGACAGCCATGGCTACACAGAGAAACCATGTCTTGAAAAACAAAACAAAACAAGAAAATAGCAACAACGACAACAAATCCAGCTGTATGGTATATGATAAAGTTTCTAAACATGAACGGAGCTGATAAAATTCAATCTCTATTACGTAGAAAATGCATTTATTAGATGGCTCACAGGCTGCGGTTCAACTAGTCTAACAATGGCTGTTTACAAATGGAAAGATTAAGAATCCAATAGTGGTTCAGTCTGTGTGTCTGGATATCTGAGCTGGTCTTCAATATACACCTTCATTTTCTAAGATAAGCGCTATTGCCAGAAAATAAAACAAGTAAACAATAACAACAACAACCACAACAAAAAATTGCTAACCAAATGTGGGGAATAAGACAAAGAGAAAGCTACCATCTTCAATGTCCTTTATATATGTAGGCTGTCACCACAAAGAGTGGCCTAGGTTAAAGGTGAATCTTATCACCCCAAATGACCCAAGAAAAAATACTTTCCCCAGTTTGAAAACTTTAATTACAAAAACCCCTGCACACTACCCAACTTTTGCATTTTATTAATTCCAGATATGTTCCATTTGAGTATCATGCATAACTAGCACAATAGACAACACAGAACCACTGGGAAAGACATTTTCCTGTATCATGTAAAGAAAGCATAGGGGCCATTTCCAAAGCAATGCCTTTCTTTAAGAAAGGGAGCATTGAGATTTTACTTAGGTATTCTAGATCATTTACACATAGGTTTGCCTTCTCCTATGAGTGTTAACTTAAATCCTTTTCTGAACATGACCAAATGTAAAAGTTGAGATATTTAAGGGGATTCTTAGGTCAAAGTCATCCAGAAATATATGTAAATAATAAAAATGGTGGACAGAAATACGTCTGGAAAGTTCATCTTGTATTACAAGATCTTAGCTGAAAATCAAGGGACAGCTGAGAGCTCATATTTTGAACTCCAGACAAGAGGGAACTAGCAATATGGGCATTGTCAGAACATATTAAAGCCTGAAAATGCACCCATGTGTCACACCTCTTCCAAAAGGGCTACACCTGTGCTGCTTCCCAAATAGTAACACAAACTAGAAAATAAGTATTTGAACATATGAGTTTATGGGTCCCATTCTCATTTAACTACCACATGTTTCCTGAAAAGTGAAAACAACATTATTTTTGTTTGTTTTTCAAGACACGGTATCTCTGCATAGCCCTGACTGTCCTGGAACTCACTCTGTAGACCAGGCTGGCCTCAAACTCAGAAATCCGCCTGCCTCAGCTTCCCAAGTGCTAGGATTAAAAGTGTGTGTCACCACTGCCCAGCTGAAAACAACATTTTATCTGTTTTCACTGTACCATATCCTTAAGAGAGACTACTATGTTCTCAAAGTATGATGTTAAAAATGAAACAAACTTTACCAGAAAAAAATCACAGCATTTAAAGAATGAACAGACCAAATGAGGACAAAATTCAACAGGGATAGTATCTAAACATATAGCTTGATCAGCAACTTGAGATTATGATGAAATTGCCTTAACCACAAAGTCTTAGGTATTCCCACTCTTCCTGCTCTGTCACCTGAAGCACAGTCAGCTTCATTTCCAGAAACTCCACTGTCTTCCTGCAGCTTTTCTCAAAGCTGGTCTTTGTATCTCAAGTCTGATATGTCTAGTATTCTCTTTTATTTTATTGAAAGTGGGTGAGAGAACTACAGGGATCACTCAGTTGTCAAGAGCACTGTTCAATCCTTTTTCATTTCCTAGCACTCCAATGGCAGGTCACTAGCCACACTTCTATCAAGTAATTGGGTATAAGCTGGTACCTGGCATTGACACTGGGATGGTTACATAAATGAGACATTTTCTGTAAGTCCTGACATCTAGATTTAAAAATTAGTGATATCAAAGTATACCTCTGTTGCCAAGGACCAAGCCTGGGCTTGGAACAGGGAAGACAGAGAAGGGGTACCTGGAAGGAGAGAAACAAGAACTGGTAGTTACAATGTCAGTTCAACCTATTCATTTATGCTCTGTGGAGACAACTTTCCAGCCTGTTTTCCCTATTTTCTGCTTTCTCTCTGCTCCATTTTCTCTGGAGAACTCCAGACAGCTCTCTGTCTATGTTCTGCTAGAGACTGTTCAACAAGCAGTTCTCTCTTGGTGTTCTTAAGAATTCACTTGATAGCTCCTCTTTTGCATACCATAAAATCAATCTGTTATTTTCCCTATGAACCCAGTCATTTACTCCTTTTGATTAGCCTCCCCTCTCCCACAGCCCCTTAATTCTTAGGAGACAGCAAGTACATCTTTTTTTTTAAACTTTGCAAAGTATTCAGTTAACTGCCTGTCTCTGTTAAACACAAATGCTAAGGTAGCTGGGTGGGACCCAGTCCTGAAGTTACCATTTCTACCACACCTGGGCCTAAAGTTGCTCTGTCCTAGACTGATCCTGAAATCAGTAATCTGTCAGCCTTTCTAAGCATGAACAACAACAACAACAACAAAATAAGCATTAGTTGAGTGGGTTCTCCTGTGAACACCACTCCCCACATCTCTCTTTTTTTTTTTTATTAACAGATCTTGCCTCAAGTTTATTTGTAACATCATAGGACACTAGACATCTGCAAATAGTGTGCGGGTAGGTGTGTCAGAGCAGTCCATCTGTCTTCACGTTGGCAGAAGCCTTTTATATGGGGCCTTCACAGGGGCCTGGGAGCCCGAGCTGGAGCAGAAACCTGGGCCTTAGCTGTAGCTTTGGCCTTTGCCTTTGTTTGAAGCTTGTGTTTTGATTGGTGCTGGGAGTCAAACCCAGGAAATTACCTGCTGTTCTTGGAAACCTAGTCTCAGGTTCCAGGAACTTAAAGAACCTGATATTTCCTAGGAGCTGGTTAGGAGAGTGGGATGGTCTAGGGCAATAAGCATATGACAGTGGGGTGGTCTAGGGCAATAAGGATATGACAGTGGTATGATCTGGGGCAATAAGGATTCAACAGTGGCATAGCCCTAAGCAACGACCATCACCCAAACTTCTCGGTTTGCTGTGTCTTTATAACCGGCACATGAAAATAAAGATTCAGAGCTTGATCAGAATCCCAGACTTGCTCTCATTCCTTGTGTCTCTTGTCCCCTCATTCTTTCGCCGCTTTCCCTAAGGTCTCGTTGAATCCCCACAGGCCAGGGCAAGTGGTGCCTGATGTGTGCCCTTTGGGTTGGGGTCCAATTGAAGGTTGCTTCCAGAGGGACCTCCTGCACACATAGAATTGATGCTTCTCCAGAGAGAAGAGTGGAGATTCGAATTGTGATCACTGCAGTCACCCGCCTGTGAGATTGATCCGGTGAAGGTAAGAAAAAGCAATGCAATCATTAGGACAAGCATTAAGCAAACATGATTTGCTCTTAAAGAGCCTCAAGGAGTCCCTCAAGTCAGGAGGAGTAAGGGTTAAGAAAAAAGGATTTCTTAAAAAATTTCATTGGGGATGTTTCCCCAAGAGGAGACTATTGATGAAAAAATGCTACACCTCCTAAGGAGGAAATAAAAACATTAAACCTTGAAGATGATGGAGAGAAAGGGCTAAAGCAGTTGTCTGCTCTCCAGCCATGTTAACAAAAGAAAAGGAAAAGGCTATTTTAGAGCCTTCCTGGGAGCAGGAAATAATCAGAAGACATCCTGCATTTTTTTTCTGGCTCATACAGGAGAGATCCTCAGTTCTGCTTTCTCTGTCTATTGTCTGTCTTTAGAGCTCCAATCTGTTCAATGTGTGTCAATTGTCTGTTTTTGTTTCGCTGCTTGAATGTTGTTCCGTGTTTCACATTAAAACTTTATCTGCTGGTTGTTCAGCCCTTGATTCAGTTTTTAACTAGTTTAGAGAGAGAGCAGGAGAAAGAATGAGAGAGAGGAAGAGAGAGAGAGAGAGAGAGAGAGAGAGAGAGAGAGAGAAAGAGAAAAAAAAAAAAAAAGCAGTTTCAATTGGCTTTTGGAGCCCTGCACCTGTGATTAGGAGTCTAACACAGCTGGAGAAGCCCTGCCATGGTCTCACTGATGCAAAAGCTGCTCTTAAAGGAGCCAGCAGGTCTTTTGGCTTCTATGGTAAGGAGCTGATGGTTCTGTTCCCCTAGAAAAATCTGTGACTATGATCATTGAGTTCAGCAGGTGACAAGGTGCTTCTCTTGAAATTTCAGCTAGAAAATGTAAGAAAA